AGTAGCTTCAACAATAAGCCTAGTATTTAGAATATGGCAAGTAGACTGTTACTAAAATTCAGGTTAGAAGTTTTGACAATAAGCCTAACATCTAGCATATGGCAAGCAAATTGCTACTATAATCCAGGTTAACCCTCTCACTACTGGTAGGTCAGTGTGCATGTTACAACCTTCTAGAAAGTTACATTCAAAATTTAATTAAACTACTTTACTATCAATGTATAAGAATAAAGTCGACATCAAAATGTAGTTAATAAATCAACTTTTAATATTATACAAGTTTTAAGTTCTCAATTTGGTAATGAAATATTTAGATATTTCCTCAATCTCCCTTAATATGAGACTTGTGACATTTGTGCTCTAGGTCTTCTCCCTTCTCTGATCTATTTACCTCCCCTCTCTGAAGTAAGGAATTTAATGTAAATTAGTCATTACAATACAGGTATTACTAAGGTAGTCTAATTTTTATAACCTTCAATCTTATTTGTTTATGGAGTCGTAAGCTGGAAAATCAGACCAAATTGCCACACTCCCTCTTTCACAACTTGCCAATAACTTTCTCTGACATTTTAATATTAATTCATTTTTCACCAATATCAAGGCAAAGTTTTAATTTATCAAATGATGCATTATATTACGGTATTTTTAGTACAGAGTATTGTCTACTTCATCTTCAGTTTGAAAGTTTCTCTTCTGCTGTTCAGATCAAAAAGCTTTGGGAATTATTTTAATGTTCTTATGTTATAGATAAAAAGCCAGTTAAATTATTGTTTGCTTTGTGCATCTTATTATTCTGTGTTCTTCGGTGCATTGTTTTAGGAAAAAATAAAAATAATTAGTGTACTAATACTATTAGTATAAAAAAGTAGGCTTAAATTTCATTGACAATTGACAGCAAACAAAAACAGGAGGTCAAAGGTAAGTAGCAAATATCTTGTTTTTAATGTATATTCTTTATTTATTATTATAAAAACAACTAAAATGTAAATATTAGAAACTTATTAGGTTAGATAAGTTTAGATTAGGTAAGTTAATGAAAAGTAATAATAACAATAAAAATTCCTCACAAAGGATGTAGGGATGCATGCGAGCAGCTCGTGCATTTCATTCAATACAGTAATGTGAACTAGACATTCATTAAATAATTTATAACTTGTGTAGTGGGATTATTAGACATGGTTAAAACATTAAATTTATGTAGAAACAGATGTACCATTACAAATTTTAAGCTATTTAGGATAAACAACTGTAGTTTTTGGTTACAATCTGCAGTCATTTTAGAAAGAAAAAAAAAGGATAATTTAAATTTATTTGTTATTATCTATGGTAGTTACAAGGTCAGTAAAATTGACAGAGTCCACTAAAGTTAGGGTAAAGAAAATAACAGATAAAATATAGTTTTACTGAAGAAAAACATTTGTTATTTATTCGGGAGGTTTTAAAGGTTATACAAATTAAATTGGAAGTATTCAGATGAAGAAAAGTATTTTGAATCTTAACATGAAAATCACTGTGCACTCATAGCAGTCAACAAACTGACTCCATATATTCATGGACAAATCTTTAGTAAAAATAGTTAATAAAAAATCTAATTTTTGTATACGAAGGACTTGTAATGTTAAATGAAAACGTCAAATTTCTTAAAGATACAGAAAACATATTAACCTTCTCTCCATGGACATCTTTTTCTGCACGTCACAAGGTTTTAGTGAGTTACTTTCACAGTTTAATTAAATTACTATGTTATCAGGGTATACCAATAAATATAGCATAAAAACGTAGCTAATAATACCATATTTTAATAGTATATAAGTTTTAAGTTCTTAATTTTAAAAGGCAATATTTGAAAAAAAATCTAGAATTTCTCCTAGTGTGAGAATTGTGACTATTGCTTTCTAGGCATCTCCTCTTCTCTAATTTATTTACCACCCCTCCAAAAGTACAAAATTTAATATAAATTAATTATTATAATATTGTCATTGCTCAGGCAAAGCATAATTTTCATAACCTTCAATCTTATTTGGTTACAGAGCCATAAAATAGCAAACCAGACCCTTCTTGCCATGCCCACCTGTCACATCCTCTTTTTCAGAAATTGCTAACAGTTCTCTCTACTGTTCAATACTACATTATTTATAACCAATAGAAAGCCAAGATTTTGGTCTGTCAAATTATGTATTATACTATATTATGTTGTTTTCTGTAAAGAGAATTGTCAATTCTGTTTTCAGTTCAAGACTGATTCCCATGGGAAACACATCAATGAGCTTAGATGAAGTTTTAATGGGTCTTGTTACATAGACAGAAAGCCAGAAAAACTGTGATAGTTAGGGGACATTGTCTGCTTTTTGTATGTTAGTATTCTGTGTTCTTTGTCTATTATTTAATTAAGTAAAAAATTATTTAGTGTAGTACTACCATTATTATTAACCCTATCACAATGGATCACTTGTCAAAGGCCATGTCATCACATTTCTTGACGTGCATTCAAAATTTTACTGAACTACTATTTTATGAATTTATGTCAATAAGTTTGGTGTCAAATTGTAGATCATAAGTCAAATTTTAATATTATACTTTAGTTAATTTCTTAGTTTAAGAGTAAATATTAAAAAACACAGTTAAACATTGATTTTTGTGTGTCACGTGGTATGTTGAATGCAGCATTAGATATTTGTGATGTCAAAATAAAAAGTCTATGGTTTCGTACAAATTAGGAACTCAATCTATCGATGTTGACAAGCTAGAATATAAAATAAGAACCTCTTAACTTTTCTATTTGCTAAGATATTGCTAATGTACTGAATCAAACACAGTAGCCCCACCTCTTTCCATTTGTGGAAACGTTCCCTTATATACACATACTTCTATATATATACGACATGAATAACCAATCAAAAGCTCAGAATGTCTCCCTAGTGGTTTTCTTAGCCATTTTGACGTGGTATTGTGTTAATCTCGTTCTTTTCTCACAAAATTTTAACTGAT